AGTTGCTCGGCTAGCTCAGCTTCAGAACCTGCAGCTACCAAAACATCATCAAAATATGGGATGACACCTGAGGCCTTCCATAATGCCTTGAAATATCCTGGGGGCAACACTGATACCAAACTGTAATTGCTTTACCTTAAAAGCCCCCCCCCCTTGTGCTTCTGCAGTGGCATCATCTACTGGTAAATGTGGATAAGCCTGGGCCAGATCAAGCTTTGCAAATATCTTTCCACCATTCAGCGATGCCAGAAGATGACTTACTACTGGCACCGGGTATGCATGCTGTTGTACATTTGTAATCGCCGCAAATCCACATGGTCCCATATGCCTTAAGAGGAGTAACAAAAGGTGTCCCCCATCGAGCATGGGGCACTGCCTCTAGGACCCCCTAAGCTATCAAATGATCCACTTTTTCATCAGTTTTAGGCTTAAGGGCAAATGGAACCCGATGTGCCTTTAAACGGACACTGTTGGATTCAAATTAAACAAAATAGGTGGCCCAGTGTAACTCCCCAAAGATCTGTTAAAGACTGCTGCAAACTCCTTACACACAGCTGTAACATCCACATGCGTGATTTGTTGAATACCAGAAATATAGATGCCCAATGGGTCAAACCATTCCAATCCCAGTAGGCTTGGTGATTGCCCTTTTGCCACTACCCCACATAATAGCCCCCTGAAGTCTTTATAGGCTATTTGAAAGGTGCCCATCCCCAGCACAGGAACCTGATTGCTCTGGAAATCCTTAAGAAGTACATCACATGGCTCCAATTTGTGCTTCCACCCCTTAGGACAAATCTGCTGGAGTGTCTGGTCTGCAGTGATAGACAATGCAGAACCCGTGTCCACCCCCATTTCACAGGGCACATCCTGAATTCTTACAGTCACTCTGATCTTTGATTGAATTGATGGCTGAAAAGTAATCACAAAGCTGTCTCCTTTAATCTCTGGCAGTTCAACAGAAAGCAAGGAAAGGGTGTGACACTCGCCTTGCTGATTGTAGCCCTTTCTGGATGCCCAAGTCACTTGACGATTCCCCCTTTCTGCTGCTCTCGAGTAAGGGGCAGCACGACAGGCACGAGCAATATGCCTCACCTTGACACACCTTTGGCACTGTACATTCCCGAATTAACACGCCTTCCTCAGGTGGGACCTGCCACAACTGCCACACAGATTTTCTGGTGGTACTTTTACTCCCTGGCTTCTCTGATGGATGACTCGCATTACAGCTTCTACCTCCTCCTCCCTAAAAGAGGAGTCCTCCCACTGCCCTTGATGGACACTCTCCAACTTACTAAATGGCGGGGGGGGGGAGTGTCTTCCTGTCGAATATCTTTTGTAAATTTCTGTGCAGCTAAAATCTCCTCACAAGCTGTTTTAAAATCCAGACTCTTCTTTGCAAACAATCAATGCTGCATTTTCCCCCCGTCCCTGATGCCACAAACCAACCTGTCACAATGCCTTGCCGTTTGTCGAAGGGCCGTAACATCATTCGCTGCTGACTCACCAGGCCCCTGGTCACGCTTGTAAGAAGCATGCCGACAAGCAATCTCTGAGGGTTGAGGTGAGAAATGGTCTTGCAGCTTGTCTGAGAAAGGTAGCTCTAACAGTCTATGGTTTGGTTATTTTCTTAGCAGCAAAGTAAAACTCAAACCTTGATATGCAAGTGTCCCAGTCTGCAACAGCTGGGTCAAAGGGTTCAAAATATCCCCGGGTAGCCATTTCCACAGCTCATCCTTCACTTCTCCAACGGTTAGCCCACAGACAGGTAATTAGTTCAGTCCAACATGCCCTCTACAGGCAAGCAAAATCCCATCCTTGTCACCAGTGTTATATTGTGGGTCCAGACACGACAGCTGCTTCCACATACGGTCCTTTATTCCAAAGACGACATGACATATCTACACAAGACACACATTCAATAAATACCCATAACTCCACCCCCCCCCAATCAAACCCTCTAGGCATCACCTCATTACAAGGTCCTCCTGTCTCCCACAGCTGTCAGATCCCTCCTTTAAAGTGCCTGATGCACTGCAGTCCCACCGCCCTCAGTGATGGACATTTCAGGACGATCGTCTTTAAAATCAGCTCATGGTGGGAAAAACAGCCTGTCTTGACTGGCTATGGTTCTGTGGAAGAAAGAAACCCGGTGTTGTCCCAACTCTCTGGGGAGCTTTCCATTCCCATCTCTTGTGGCCTGTACTGGGCTCTGTAAGTGTGGCTCCCTGACCCCATCTCACTTGCCTGTCAGGGAAACAAACGAGGACCAAAGGGATGCCACATCAGTCTCTGAGATCAAACGCAACCTTTGAAGGCGCCACATGTGATAGAACGTCTGCATCTCCAGCTTCCCCAGGAGGCAAGCACTGAAAGACAGTGCCGGAAGCCAAGGGAAGCTTCAGATAAATGACCCCCTTTGTTGCTGGCGACTGCCTTGGCATGGCGCAGCATGGCAACTGTTCTGTATCTGTCTCAGCCTTACTTGGAAGCCCCCAAGGGAAAAATCAATTTCCAATCAAAGCTATGTGCTTTTTCCTCCCTCCTGCTGTTACCATTCCTCAGCCCAGGAAAATCCTTGGGATAAATTTGGATTTCTCTTTATTTGGTTTTGATACCACACTTGGAAATGTAAAACTGCCTTCGTTCTGCAGTGTAGCAGTTTTCAGAGAGGTGTGCCTATTGTACTGTTTCGGCAAAAAAGAAGACAAAAGAAAAAGAAAAGTATTGTGGCAGTTTAAGACTAGCAGATTTATTTTGTCTGAGTTATTGTGGAGTACAGGCCACTCCTTTGGACTTGGGGGTTACAAATTCATTATCTGGATTATTGGCTTCCATGCAGTGAGCATGGTGTGGAGATGGAAGTGGGACCAAGTTGGACCAGGTAGAGTGGGGGACATAAAATGCAATTGCATCTGATCATCTGGCAATGAGCTTCCAAAGTGATAATGACTGTATTCATAAAGCTGGTCAGCATTCAAGATGTTGATAATACAGTGGTGCCTCGCATAGCGAGGTTAATCCATTCCGGATTAACCTTCGCTATGCGAAAACATCGCTAAACGGGACTAAAAAAGCCATAGAAACGCATTGAACTTTGTTCAAGTGGTCAACATTCAAGATGTTGATAATATTAGCTTCCCGATGGTTAGTAGATGCAAATGACACAAGTTGTCAGGACATGAGTTTTAGAACTTCCAGGAAGTAGTAGGTTATACTGTGGTCACAGTTTTATCAAAGACATATGTTTGGTTATACCCAAGGCTGTAGAGAACAAACGAGAGAGAAAAAGAGAGAGAGAGAGAGAATGAATATGCTAGAAAGCCCTAATCTCTATTTAATCCTCTAGACACATGCTGGAATTTATGAACAAAGCCATTGCATCTGGTTCTGTCTCAAATCTCCTTTTCTGATTCCTTTTAAAAATCAGAAGCTGATTCTGGGATGGGCTCCTGTGAATTCTGTTTCTGAGACAGATGTGTGTCTGCTGATTCTCTTGTACAGAAATTGGCCTGTACACTCTGTGTAGAATACAGAGAGGCACTGCTGGCAGAAGATGCCTATATCACATTAGAAATGAAGAGTAATACAAGTCCCTGATATTGCACATGACATTTGGTCCTGGTAAAGTAAATCTGAGGACACAACTGGCTTTTTGAGTATGTAGGAGATTAAAAGATACAGAAAGAGGAGCGGACAACTTTCTCCTACCTCTCCTAAGAGATAGAAGCCCTCTTACAGGGTGTGTGGGCCTTCTCCATTTGTATAATTATGGAATCAAATCCAGACTTATTTATGCTTAAAACAGGCCTTTTGCTCAGTAGTTTAGGTATCTGGCTGTGGAGTGGGAGTTTGAGAGTTCAAGTCCCTATTGTGCCCCTTGTGAGTGGGGCGAGCCCGTGTGGCCTTGGGCAAGCTGCGCAGTCCCAGGGCTACCACAGAAGAAGGGAATGGGAAACCACTTTTGTGCATCCTCTATTTGGAAAACCCTGGAAAAGGGTCACTATAAGTCAGAATTCATTTGATAATTCACAATAATGGTGATTGAAATTATTGTGTCTAGTAAGCCACATCAGAGTCCTACTTATTTCTGTGGGTTGACTTAAATTGCTTAAATTTAGACCCAATCAGTATAAATTCATTCGGTGGAGCATTCATGAATCTTGGCCTTCACACATTCGGGATCACATCTTAGGAATGTCTCTCTGGCTCAGAGACCTTAAATAGGGAGTAGGACTCAGTGGGTGTGGAGTGTGCTGTTGAATCATAACACTCATCAGCCTCCATCAGCATAACCTAAAGGTGATGGAAATTTAATCCAGCATTTGGAATCCTACGTGTTCAACAACACTACCTTAAATAATGAATTGGAACATGAATTTAGGACAGAGAGATGTGTGGAGGAGGGTCCCAAATGTGGAGGAGCCCAAATAGGTCAAGTGTGGGGAGAAGAGGAGACTAGTGGGTGCAAGTATTATCTAGATTGATTGATTGAATGTTTATATTGCTCATCTAGTGCCATGCTACTATGTATGGTTTGCACCATAAGACATAAGAACCCCCCAACCAACCACGCAACCTACAATAATGTAGAAGCAACCCCACAAAGAGTCCAAGATGGCGACAATGGACCCAAAACCACTATTGACGTAAAAACATTAGTAACAACAATTATAAGGAGAGGATGTCCTGAAATGCTTCTCTGAAAACCAACATTTTCATCCGCTTTCTGAATATTGGGAGAAAGGGCGGCGGGCTGGCGTACCTCCACGGGTAGTGCATTGCACAAGGAGGCGGCCACTACTGAGAAGGCCCACTTCCTCCGGGTGGCCACCTGCCCGCATCAAAGCTTGGGAGGTGTGGGTGGGATGGCTGGTAGACCTCAGGGAGAGGCGTTCCAATAGGTAACGAGGTCCCAAACTGTTCAGGGCTTTGTATGTCGACATTAGCACCTTGACTTTGGTGCGGCATGTTCTGAATGTTGCTCCTCCTGCCTGCAGCTCCCATTGGCGTCAGCCCTCTGTGGATGAGCATGCTGAACTGGGAGACATCAACGCAGACATCAACAGCTTCCGTTCCACCTGGACCAAGTACATCCAAGAGAACAAGCAGAAGTGGAAGGAGCGAGCTGCCAGTGGTATGGATTGACTCTCTCCCTCTCTCTCTCTCTCTCTCTCTCTCTCTGTGTGTGTGTGAGAGAGAGAGAGATCTAACAGCCTGATAGGAATTCACCTTCCCCCCCCTCAAAAAAAAAAGTCTGAAAGGGGCCTGTGATGAATACTGCCCCTCCTATAGGCTGTTAAGTCAAAAACGAAACAAAATGATTGTTTGGGGTCTCCCTGGCATGCATATGTACAAAGAATGCAACCCCCCCCGACTTCGTCTTTGTTATTTCCTCTTGCGGACCTGAGAGAAACAGCCCTATGAGGCTCAGACCATCTTCCCACCTTCCCTTGCTATGTTGTTGTTGGCACTGCTGCTGTCATTGTTATCCTCATTACCCCCGCCATTTTTAATTAAACGAAATAAAATTTATTTCTTAGCTGAGGACCAGGGCAGATCCGCTGGGAGGCAAGTTATCCAAAGGGGAAGCCTTCACGGAAGATGCTTTTTGCACAAATGGGCTGCCTGTGGTCTTAGCCACAAAGGCGAAGCAGCGACCCTTCTCCCTTGGCTGAGCACCCTAACCTCAACCCCAACTCTTGGCTCAATAAGACGTTTCCCTCCCTTCCTTTGGACCTCTTTCCGGTCATCCCCCACACCTCCCTTTGCCCTCACATTCTCCCCGGTCCATTGGCCACGGCATCTGTACTCCTAGAACCCTGCTTCTCACTGTCGTGTTCCTTCTGTAGGAATCACTAACCAGACCTCCATTGATGAGCTGTCACCTTGTGAGGAGGAACCGCGCACGCCTGAAAGCCAGCACAATCAGAATGGCAATGTGGAATAGCACCGCCTGTGTGGGAGCCGGGTGAGAGAGTGCTTCTCAGCAGTTGACAACTTTCTCGTTACGTGGGGAGGAAGTGACAAATGTGTGCTCCTTAGGCAGAAGCCCCCCCCCATATCCATGGGATCGGTATCTACTGGTTCACTTGCCCATGGTCTAAAAATATTAAAAATATTAAGAGAAAATCCTAGAAATTTATTTCAGGATGAAGTTAGTAGAACGGACCACTAGGGGAGAGCCAGAGACCATGCTATTTATAGTGATCTGAACGATCAGATGTCAGCCTGGAGGCAGGCGGTACATCACGGCCTCTCCCAATTTGAACAGACCCTTGTCCAGCAGGCCGAGGCAAAGAGGAAGTCACAAAGGAGAGCCAGAGACCATGCTATTTGTAGTGTTCACTATCAAAATAGTGTTTACTATAATCCAGGTTTTCCAGCATCTCTGGGAGGGCTTCGAACCAACCCCCTAGAAATAAGGTGTGTGTGTGTCCTACTGTATGTCACTCCATAGCACTTAAAGCAGTCTCTGGGTGGTTTACAATTTAATTATGCAGGCTATACATCCCCCCTTCATGAGTTGGGTACTCAGTTTAGCAACCTTGGAAGGAGGGAAGGCTGAGTTAACTTTGAGACAATTACCTGAGCAGAGTCTTCACTGCAGTACTGCAGTTCAACCACTCTACCACAAGGCTCTCTGTGACACATTACTTTTCAGTGTGTTGTGAGGAGAGACATTTTCCCTTCTTATGAGGGAACATGCAGTTGTGGAATGTCTCTCCCTACTCCTTCACTTATAGATTTAAGCGGTGTAACTCAGATGCTGATTTGGCCCCTAATAGTTGAAGACCCATCTCTTCAGGCAAGCTTTGTTTGTTTGGGCAACATTTTGCACACACTCTTGTTGTGGGCGCTGCATTTTGTATGCTCTGAAACTGTACACCTGAACAAAGTCTTACTCTTGTGATTATTATAAGGTAGAAGAAACCAGTCATTGGCGTGACTGAACTTGAGCATAGGATTTTAATTGATCCTTCCTATCCTGACCCTGCACACATCTAGCCAACAGCCCTGAATCTGGCTCTGATTCTGCTTCCTTTTTCACTGGCAGGTGCCCGATGCCGTTAAAAGTCTTCGATCCCATCGACTCCGCACCATCCGCACAGGGAGGGAGCCACCACCCCTTCGCCCCAGCTCAAGAAGGGTGTGACATGAATGCGACCATCAATATTACTAGTAATAATATTAATGATAAATGCAAATGATGTTGACATCACACAGCATCCACTGCCTGTCTCATCCCTGAGTTGCAGAGAATGAGAGAGAAACCCCCATGTTACTTAATTCCCCATCACTAAGCACCAGTGGGGCAAAATGGCCACTGCAGCACTGGGGAGGGTCTCCCGATACAGAATCCTTCCCTGCCACCCCCCCCCCAAAAGCGCCGGTAAGGATTCTCACTGCCAAGCCAGCAAAGGGACTGCCGACACAATCGTCACCGCTGGTTTTTAGAAAGATTGGCTGTAATGGCGCTTTGGGCAAGGAGACTGTATGGCAGTTATTGAGCCTGGCAGTTGTGTGTGTTTATGTGTGCGCGCACACACGTGAGCTGTGTCTTTCTGGAAGGGATTCTCACCCCTGCACCATTCATAAAAAAACCCAGCCGATTGTGGGAGGTGGACCAAACCCCAACAGCATCCCTGAGGTCTCCTCTGCCCCCCCCGCCCCAGCGTGACCTTGGCAGTTCTTCTCCTGGCGCAGTTTGTGGATGCTTTGCAAGCCTGGCCTTGTGCGTTAGCGGGTGTGGCTTCTTGTGTTGCCCCTTCTACAGCTTCCTCCTTCTTCGTGAAGCAGGTCGAAGCACTCCAGCGTTCAAGCAAATGGCTACGGCGTTAAAACATAATCTCCATCTTCCCAAGCAATCGTTTATACAATGACTAGGTGCTTGAAAGAGAGAGAGAGAGAGACCGCCTTTCCTGCAGACTTGTTTAGGGCTTGAGACCCTTCATCCTCGTCTGCCCTTGGAACCCTCGGTCCCTCTAGAGTGATCCAGGCAAGACCTCTTTCACTGGACAGCTCCATGGTGTAGGCATCTGCCTATGGAGGCAGAGGCTGGACTTGATGATTTGTAGGGTCCCTTCCATCACTGCCGTTCTAAGATTATTATTATTATTGTCTGGAGGACAGCCCTGGATTGCCCTTCCTCCTCTCCACCTCCATAGGGCCACTCTCTTTCCTACTGTCTTTCTTTCTAGAGGAGCGCAGTATGGGTCTTCATAATTAGGCATTGCCAGCTTCCCCCCCCCCAGCTGCTAGGGTTGGGGGACTAGAAAGGTGTCCATTCTTTGTGGGTGGCACCTGAATTGCCATATACCTGGGGTCTTAATATTGTTTCCATCCAGGTATGTTGCATCTCTCCCTACGAGGTGGAGTTCTATTGTGTATTCCTGGAGTTCCCCATGAGGAGGGCCTGAATAGTCCTTAGCTAGGCGGCCATTCTTTCTTTCAGTGACAGATGTCTGTATGTCTGATAAGCATTTTACTGCGTGCAGAGGAGATCAGGGCATAGAAGGTCATTGCACTGAATGTTCTGCTTTTCCGAGGGCTAAGAGACTTTTCAGGAGGCCACCCTAACAGCAAGGAGACCAACGGGTTGCTACTAGGAAGGAGGATCTGGATTTAACAACAGCCAGAACCAATGAGGGTGGGTTTCTTTTTTTAGTGTTAAGGCTCAGAGAAGTAATAATTAAACAGCATACCTCTAACCAGGTGCAGAGTGTCCTTCTCTTCAGCTAAAGGTCCACACCCACATATCTGAAACAAAGATCTGTCTTCCAGGCCAGAGGATGGCTTCTAGCTTCACTTAAACCATGCCCCTTTCTCTTACTCAATTCTAGCACTTCATTTTGTGAAGTTTTATTTTACTTTTCTGTGTGAGAACTAAAAACAAGTTTGGCCTAACAAGGCAACAGCTACGGATTGTCATTAAACTACAGACTGGTGAGATCAGAGATGAAGACAGAGCATTACTTTCAAATACTCCTATGAAATCAGGAGCCTTTGTCAGTGAAGGGTACCCGCTTGCCATTTCCCATCTCACTGATGTCTTCTTTCACAGGACATTTGGTGCAAGCGTTTGTGCTCCCTTGGTGGCCACTAAGGCTTCAGTCCTAGACTCCAGTCTTCTTATAACACTTGAGGCACATCCTTCCCTGCAGTCTAAAGAGACCAAGTAGCAAAGACTGGGATATGGGGAACAGCAGTGGTTTGCCACAGTCTGCCAAAGGCAGAGTCATAAAATGACACATTGGGGTTTGTGAAGGGCAAATTGGGCACATAGGGTGAAGCATTTCCAACCATACATGGATCTTTTGGCTGGGTGTCCTCAGCGACTTGGACCCTTCTTATGACAAGGAAGCTTAGACCAGACTACCCATTTATGCAACATAGACGGTACAGTTGTGAGAGAGCCATGTCATTGTAGGGTGCTGTTGTGGGGGCCCATCATGGAAAGCACCCCCCCTCGCTGCCAGATCCAAAACCTTTTGGTATGGGGATGCTGGGAGTGGTTGTCCAAACAAGTCACTTGGTCAGGCTTGGATCAGAGAAGTGAGACAAGAGGCCTCCTGGCGCTCACAAACTCCTATGGATCTAGAGACCAAAATGGAAGGCAAGGCAAGTAACTTCTATGGCTCTAGAGACCAAAATGGAAGGCAAGGCAAGGCAAGACGTACTTTAAGAATATCCCAGTATGGGAAAAAGAGGAGACTGATGAACCTCTGGGAGGAGATAGACCTTATTCTGTCCTGGGGCTCTTGGGCAGGGGGACCCAGTTCTGAGCTGCCAAAGGGGTGGCCAGAAAAGGAGCGTGTTGTGGAGCTTTGAGGCGGAGCCAGATGGTCTCTTCCTACCTTTGGCCCAAGCCTAAAATCTGTTCGGCCTGTTCTGTGGTGAGGGCCTGACACTCTCTGTGTCTTTTCCCTCATTGGAAACTCCCACCTGAAACTAAGATAATGCTGAGAATACACCCATGAATCTTTTCAAGCTTTGAATGTTTCCCTGAAGACCAACATGTGTGAAAAAGGACTGGCAAAGGTCGAAATGTCATCATCTTGACTCTGCTGCGTGTGCTTTTTTTTCCTGAGGGGACCAACTGGGACGTGATTTTGCTGTTCTCATCTCCGGCCTCCTTGTTCTCCCACTCTTTGCCCCACAAACTTTGTAAATACCCCCCCTTTAATCAACACATTCTAGTCCGTGGAACTCTGTATGTCTTTGTACCTCGGACGTAATTTTTCTACCATGCAGTATATCTTTCGTTTTGTTCTCTTTCTTGAGTTTGGAATTCTGACGACGACAGATCCATACTCCAATGCAGAATTCCAAGTTATGCGCATGTAAAAAGTTAACGTAACAAATAAAAAGGGAAGGACTGAACAGCAAAAAAATAAAAATAAAACAGGAAGAAAAAACCCAAGATGAATAATGTGGATCTTGATTGGTGTGCATGGGAAATATCACAAAGAGGCCTTGCATATGTGGAACTGTGAATGAATGCTCCTGGCTACTGTTTCCTCCTAAGTTTGTTTTATCTTACTTCCACATTAATCTGTAAATTTTAAAATATCTGCAAAAAGAGGGAAAAAACCCTTTAAATACAGAAATTTTAGTGGGCTCTCAAAATATTGCAGCATTCAGGAGGGTGTGGGATCCAATGGGTCCCTGCATCCCAAGCCATGCATTAATCAAATCGAGTTCCTCAAGCAGGCCTGCCTGTGGAAGGCAGTGGATAGTCAGAAAGGTGAGTAAGGGAAAAGGGAGTTAAAACCCACTGCCGATGCATCCTGTGACTGGAGTGGAATGATGTTGGAATCCCCTTCTGGAACACCGCCCATCCCCATTAATGGTCTCCCAAGTCATCGGGCTATTATATGCAGTGTGTGCTCTGCTGGGCATAGAAAGTGGTGGCTCAAGTGCAAAGGGAGACATGAGAAAAAGAAGCAGAGCCCAGCAGAACTGATCAGAATCCCCCCCCCAATACACAGCCACTTATTAAAGATTGGGGGGAGGGGGTTAACATATCCAAGCACAAGGGTAGTAGAATCATTTTTCCAGACCATTGAGGTGCCTGGAAGGAAATGCAGGCCATTAAGGGAGGCACAGCTTTCTCTTCTTGTCGATCAACTCAAAACATCACGGCATCGCTGCAACCTTGTGTATGGTGCATTACATCAGTGGTTCTTAACCTTCGGTGACTCAGGTGTTTTTGAACTACAACTCCCAGACTTTCTCTTCTTGTTGATCAACTCAAAACATCACGGCATTGCTGCAACCTTGTGTGTATTACATGACACAGTGTGCTTTCTGCCTCTTCTTCTTGGCCCCGAGGAGCAGTGGAGGGCAAGTTACATCACGCTTGCCCTTTCTTTCCTCAAGACTTCTCTTCCCACAGTGCTCTTTAGAAGAAGCTATGAACACACCACTCAGTCCCAGGGTTAAGAAAATGATCAGAGTGGCAGCTTGAAGGTTGTGTTCTAAACTGAACATGGATATTGGTCACGTATCTCTATAGATGCACAAACAGGTATTGCTCAACCTTGATCATCTTGGTGATGATCATGCCTGGTTGGGCCGGTGTTGACAAATCATGGAGTGACTGTTTAATTTCCAGATTGCCCACCAGACCTGCATTGAGGTTCCTGAGTCTAGATGCCTCCTCCTCCTCCACACACATGTGCACGTGCGTGTGCACACACAGTTTGGTGTGTTTTTCCCTAAACATTGCCAAGCAGAATCTCTGCCTTTTGCTTTTCTCTGGTGTGATTTTCAAAGAAGACACTAAGCAGAAGTACTGAACCTTTCTCACTTGCTATTGCAGCCAGATACTAACGTTACTCATTCGCCTTTCAGGACAGAAGGAAAATACTAATTCGGACTTTGCGTTCATCTGTTAAGAAGTACATTAATAAACAAATCCAAATCTCGATTGTGGGTGCCAAGTATGTGCCCCCCGGCTCAGATATAATTAAGACTACAAGTACTGTGATCCTTCTCTGTTTGTTACACTGGCTGTGGCTGATGGGAATTTCAGTCCAGCAGCATGGGGAAGAACCAAAGTATCCAGAGGGACATTGTAGATATTAACTGTAATGGGAAAATTACAGGTTCTCTGTGAAAGGCCTAAGAATTGCTCACAGGACCCTGAGGGCAAGAATGAGAAACCTGTGGTCCATGAGCTGTTGAACTACAACTCCCCCCACCAACCTGCCACCATGGTCAAATGGCAAAAAGATGATGGGAGGTGTGGTTAAAAAAAGAACATCTGGCTCCTGGTTTTCCTCTCTCCGTTGTACAGCACGGAAATGAAGACTCCCCCATCCTATAGTGCTTTCTTTCTGACTGTCCTATGGGTCTCTCGCGGGAGAAGTATGTACAGAATTGCAGCCCCAACTGGTCTTAAGAGTGGCTTGTAAGGACACTTGTACCATCAGCTGAGAACACCCAAAAGAAGGGGGGCTGTGTGAACATATACTCACAACTTCAAGCTGTCCCATGTGCAATAACCATACATTTCCAGGAACAGGCCATCAACCTGGGACATGCTGATGGCTGGTCATCCTGGCAGACAGTTGGCTGAGAGGGCACATTAAGGAGGAACGTTTTGTTGTTGCTTATGTGTAATTTTTGGATTTCAGAAGTTCTTCAGTCCACGGCTTTGGCCTAGACATAGACTCAGGGTCTGGTTTTTGGTGTTGCAAGTCAATGCAGAGCTGACACAGCCATCGATATCACAGGTCAAGGGGCAGTTTTGCAGGAAAAGAAGGAGCACTGGTGTTTTCTCCACACGTTAGGTATTTAGCACAACTCCTTTGGGCAAGCCAGTGACTTGGGAACTCACAAAGCAAGCAAAGATGACCCGTTTAATAAAACAAACAGGATTGACATTGTGTGACAACGGTTAAGATAGGAGAAAGTCCAGAACTGCAATCCAGATATGTAAAACAATCTCAATGATGTAGGGCTGAACCATGGACAACTCGCACTAAATCCAAGCGGGTGAACTGATGTGATGTCTCACCCGTCTATCCAGGCTGTAGCCAGTTCTTCTGGCTGGGCTGGGATTAATTATTTTTTGTTAATGATGAAGTGGAGCAGGTGTGGCAAATTAATTGCTCTACAGATGGGGTAGACGCCATCTCTCATCAGATGCAGGTGGTGTAGCCTGGCATCCAAAATGATGTGGGTTGTAATCAAGCAGCATCTGAAGGGCCCCAGATTCACCCGCCCGGTCACAGAGGTGGGCCTCCTTCAGAGCATCAGCTTAAAGCAGTGGTCCCCAACCTTGGGCCTCCAGATGTTCTTGGACTACTCCCAGAAGCCTTCACCACTACCTCTGCTGGCCAGGATTTCTGAGAGTTGAAGCACAAGAACATCTGGAGGCCCAAGGTTGGGGACCACTGGCTTAAAGCACTACCCAAAGAGGTACAGTGGTGCCTTTCTTAATGAGCGCCCCGTTTAACGATGAATCCGCATAGCGATGAGGTTTTTGCGATCGCAAAAGCAATCGCATTGCGATATTTTAGATGGCCAAAAATTGCTTTGCGATGATCGGTAAGCGTTTCACTTACCGATTTTCGCATAGCGATGTTTTAAAAACAGCTGATCGGCAGTTCCAAAATGGCCAAAGGAAAAAAATGGCTGCCTGCAGTGTTTTCACGCCCTTTCCTCACTTACCGGGCAGCAAAAATGGTGGCCGGATGGAGGACTTCTGCATAGTGGTGAGTTTTTTTCCCCATAGGAACGCATTAAACGTGTTTTAATGCATTCCTATGAGTTTTTCCCCCCGCATCACGACGAATCTGGATAATGACAATTTTTTCGGCACAGATTATCGTCACTATGTGGGGCACCACTGTACTGCCTAAGTGTCTGCCCCGCACTGCATCTCTATGCTATGTTTAGCCGGCTCCCTTATCAAGTCTGAAGAGCCTTACCCATGTTTTCTGGGGTATAAAAGGGAAATTGAAATTACTAATCGCCTGTCTCATACAAAAGAGGCCAAACAGGCTGCTAGCTGAAGCACTCCTGACCATGCAATAAAAAGAGCGACGTGTGTATCCTTGAAAAGTAAGTGTACCTATTCTGTGTGTATGTGTGTGTGGCAACTGCTGAAGGTTAGGCACACATGTGTGAGGCCTGTTGGTGGTTTCAAGGGAGGAAAACGCTTGCCCCCAGAAGGCACTGCTGTATTATGACACTCTTCCCCCAAAACGGGGCAGCTCAGCTGGAGAAGGAATTAGGGGGGGCATTTGGAAGGAGACAAAGTGCCAGGTGTTTGTCTGCTTCCCCTCAACTTTCAGGCAGGCCGGTTACAGGAGAGTAGGAGACCCGAGATGCTTTGTATACTGTGGAACTGGAAGAAGCCAGTGGTGTGCAGAGCAACCATAGAAACACAGAAGGCCCCCTGCCCCTGAAGAACTACAAAAAGAGCTCCTTATCCAGACATCTCTCTTTAACTACGCAGAGCCCAGTTGGGTGTTACACCAGTAGGCACGACAGCACAGTGCCATTTGATTATGTCTGGTTCCCAGGCATGTTCCCCACTGGATGCACGCTGGGGAGAGTGGTGGATTTCCCAGCATGGACGAAACCAATGGCTACAGGAGAACGCAGAAAAAGCAGTGGATGGCCATGAACATGCCATCTGAAGAATACAAGAGAGGCCTGGTTGGGGGTAGGGGATGGGGGAATACAGGTTCTGGTCTGTAAATCTCTCCCACAGCAAATGAAGTGGTGGTTTTGTTTTTGACCTGCGTTGCATCACCCTGCAAGTGGGAAGCTCAATTGAGTGAATTAATTTCCATAGGACAAACAATGCCATCTTTACAAAGAGAAAAACAGGGCCTCACAGAAAGTTACATCCCTTTTCCTGATAGATCCAGATAGCTATTTTGTTGTATTCAGTCACTTGAGCCCAACCTGCAGTCTAAAGTGGTGCTAGGTCAGACTCCAGACCTGGGCCGGTTCAGCTGCTATTTGGGAGAACTAGGCTAGAGGGTGAGTGGTGCAACCTAAACGTCGTTCCACTTCTGGGACTAGAACCGTTCTAGCACTCTAAACAGAAACACATCCTTAAATACATCAGCAACCTGGCCTGCAAACCCCAAATGACACAGAAACGTTCCCCTCCATCCCCAGTTGAACTTGGACCATTTCAGTTTTGTGTGGCTTTTTTGTTTTTTTTACAAAAAGAAAAGAAAACTTTACAAACACCTAAACAGCCACTGAAGTTTAAAAAAACCCACAATCATTTAAAAAAAGAAGAAGACGGGAGGAGGGGAGGAAAAAAAAGAAAAGAGCTGTGTGATATCCCATTGGGTAAGCTTGAGCCCTGTCTTCAGATGGAACATTCATGCCAGAGGTCGAGCATCACCTGCGGAGGAGCAAAAAACAGATACACGCATGATGCCCTGGAGCAAGGTTTTCAAATGGGAGTTGGAGTAGATCAGTGATTCTGAAACCTACCAATCCCTTTATAAAGGAGTCCCACCATGATAGAAACAACAAAAACCATACAGTAGGACTTTGGTATCCACAGGTTCCAAGGCGTGCGCATGCGCACATGCAAACACACCCACACACACCCCTGTGGATGTTGAAAAATGCACAAATGTTAAACATTATACATTGCATGGTCTCTAGCTCCCTCTAGTGGTCTATTCTGGTAAACGCACCCTCAAAATAAGCAGCGCTTATTTATCATTTTCTGGAAGTGGATAAGTGAACCAGCAGATGCTAATTCCACAGATAGGGAGTGCTACTGTACTTAGTTCACAAAGAGTACCTCTAAAGGATTTCTGATAGGCTATTTATCATTTTTGGTAGCTCAGTGGGCAGGGGCAATAGAGATAAGGGGAAGGACTGAATGTCCCAAATTACTGCAATTGTGCCCCAAAGTCACAGATAGATCATTGATGGCAAGTACAATACTTGCAGGATGACGAGGGGAAACGAGAGGGAGTAAATGCTTACAAATTGTTACAGAAACCATGCATCCCACCAGGGGTACATGAACGGACAGAAACACTGGTCTAGATTATCTCCAATGTTACCGTAATTCTAAATCCCAGGGCTTCCCGTAAGAGCTCTCTTAGAGTGTGACTTACTCATCAATTTGTTTGCTATCATCTCTCAGACCTGGTTTCAAAAATTCTGCCCATTACCTTTTTCACTATTTTTTTGTCTGGCCAACCTGTCCCATAAAGATCATGACAGACATGTAAAAAAAAATGCAGAATATCGTAATCACATGGAGAAAGGAGTTGAAATATATTTCCACTGATAAAAAAAATTACAGGGAAATGAAGTGTCTAGCCTTGAAAAACAAAAAAAGATAACCTATGACAGAAGTTTATAAAATTAATACACAGTTCCCCCCCCCCGCCCATTATATTAGATTTTAGATCAGGAGCGAACATAAATTCAGAATGGATAAAATAAAGCATTTTTTAATCTGCATAATGAGTCCAGGTGCCGTAAGATATGGAGAGGCACAAATTAGGGAAGGCGGAACTATTGGATGTCACTAGCCATGGAAGTGAAATGAAGCCTTTCAGCTGCTGGTGGGGGAACATGTGGCTCTCCAGATGTTGCTTGACCACAGCTCCCATGATACCCTCCCATTGGCTATTCTGGCCACAATGGGTGGGAGTCCAGGGACTTCTGGAAGGACATATGTTCACTAGCCCCACTCAAAACCCAGTCCTCATACACAGTGAGGGAAGGGGCAGCGGAAGAGGGGTTCAGTGCCTTACTGTGGACTCTCAGAGAGCTGGAAATAAGACGGCAGATTTGCTCTTTTTAGCTTTTAGAACCCAAGCCAGGCACAGAGATGATATGGGGACAGGGGATGGAGACCCTGCAGTGAGTGGCAGGATGGAAAGGTTTGGAGGGGAACTGCACAGAGTAGCAGCTTTTCTTTCCTTAGCCAGGGTGTGCATGCGTGCGTGCATGTGCACACACCCACACCACCCTCGTCTTCCACACACAGAGAAACTCACACTGCCTTAAGACCTGTAGAACATCCTCCATGCAAACATAGGTCTGCCTCCTATATGTAAAATTCCCCATGGGCTAACACAGAGGCTGCATTAATCTTGTCCTTTTCCAGAAAATGCCTAGGAGGATAGACCTCAAACTGTTCAGAGTGAAGCATGCACTCTCCGCTTTTTTGCGGCTTAGGCGGGATCCCATTGTTTTAGTGGCCCCTGCCTGCAAGAGACAGAGCCATTTCTTTCAATGATGTCTTGCTTATAATGACCAACAATGTCAAAACAAGCATTGTTGCCTATGTACCTAGGAACATCTGTTTGTAGGAGTGAGAAGGGTGTGTGTGTGTGTGTGTGTGTGTGTGTGTGTGTGTGTGTGTGTTTGTGTGTGTGTGTGTTTGTGTGTGTGTGTGTATGTGTGTGTGTAAAGTCTGCATCTATTTGGTGTGTCTTTTTTTTCCTGACGCCAACTTTGCCCCTTTGTTCTAGACGCAGACGGTGTACAAAGAATGTCGCTTTCAGCTTTGATTAAGCCTGGGTTTGAGTGAAGCATCTGAACTTTCCCTTTCACCAGTTTGATCTCAGGCAAACTAATCTAAGCTGAAAGGAGAACTAATTGAAGTCACAGGGAGACTTCATAATCCCAGCGTCCACCAAAGGAAACCGACACTCAAGAGAGCTGGCTGGCTGGCTGGCACTCTCTCTTCCTGTTTTTCCCCCCTTTAAGTCTAGGACTTGCAGCTACACCATTGACTGACTGCATTTTGTCAAAGGCAATGACGGCCATTCTGACGTGTGTGGGGTGTCTGTCTGTGACATGGCTCATTCACACACATGTGCAAAGCCACCTTAACCAGAGGAAGATCCTTGCACCCATTTTGTTTTCAGTTGTTTAGCCTTGGATCATGTACATCAAAGCATCACAGGCATTTCCCAGATGCTGTCAACTAAATATGGTCTAAATACCTGTCGCTGTGCATAAAAAACTCAAATTTCTGGCTTCTTTTTAATTTAGAAAAAAAAAGACGGGAAGCTCGAAGATTACAACCAATTTTGCACTATTACTCTCCCTTCACTTCTACTTTAAGGCATGAACACTTCTTGCAAACACAGCCTACCCTAGGTTACTCTTCTGTCCCATTTCTCCGTAGTAGGGCATAGGCAAATTCTGGAGTGCAGGTGCCTACCATAACATTCCCTGCTGCCATGCCTCCAAAGAGAAGTGAAAATGCAGGCTACTGCCTTGATCCTTTATCCACAAACCTGCAGTAGTTTCATCCCCACCAGATCTTTTGTAAAGCTAATGGATCTTGGGTGTCCAGCAAAAATGAAGACACTTTGGATCCCAATAAGAATAACCCACAAACGTATCTTGAACCAGGAAAAGCCACTTTCCCTGTCTGCACGGACCGTAGCTGAACTCAGAGACAGCAAGAAGGCCTGCGTTAGGGTGCCAGAGGATAATTCTTTTCCTGCTGATCACAAAATGCTTGTGCTCTGGTCCATGTGCTCTAGTTCTGCTATATCAGATTTGTTGCACACGTGACGGTGTGGGTATGATTTTTCTGCATGCAGAGGATCCACCAAGCATATTCATGTCCCAAAGAAAGCACTGTGCATTTCTCTTCCTTTCCTATGTGCAAAAGAGATCCTCACTTACTCCTGTTCTTGCAGTGTCTTGACCTTGTAACACAAAAGTACTACATTATCCTGTCCTGCAGGAGGAGTATTCATTTTAAAACCTGAGCCCAACTGGACTGGTGCTTTTTCAAGTTTCCTGGAGCAGTGAAACCACACGGCCCCTTTCAGGGAGCGCTGGCTCTCCTCCTTGATCAGCGTCACTTATCTTAGGGATGTCAGTCACGGACAAATCTGCTCTGCTGCACTGTGGGCATGACATCATCAGCTGACATGTCATAAAAACAACTTTCACCCAGGAAGAACATATTAAAGTGGCATCATATGGGGGAAACAGTAGGTTGGATGTAGACCTAGCCATATTTAAAATGGATAATTGAAATCACTGGGACATAAGTTCATTATGACTAACAGTGCTCCACAGTGCCCTGGGGCATCATCAAACCCACCCAGGGGTGCAAAGGAACCCTCTCACTCTTCCCTGCCACCTCCCCCTCCTCCTCCTTAGCTGGCAGGTCTCCCTGCATGCCAGCCTAGATCATACTCAGTGCCCTGCCCGTGCTCAGGTGTCGACAGATCCCTGGGTGAGGTGCACCCCTGTCCCTGGAGGCCTGCCTACGCAGGAGAAGGGGCAGAGGCACCCTTTTTGTGCTGGGAAGGCTCCAGGATGGGCCAAATGAGATGTGGGTGGGGAAAGGTGGGAACCACTACCTTAGCGGTGTGCTTAATAAAGGTACTGACCAACACAGGCATTTTGGATTGATTCCAATTGATTTCAGTGGGCCTACTTTAAGTATAACTAGGTCTGGATCCAACCCAACCATCATCCATGGCCACCAAAGAGGTGAATATTCCCGAAGGAGGCTTGTTTAGTGTACAGAGAGCATACTGAGGCCCCTCTCATTCTACAAACCCCAAAGAGGTGAATATTTGGTCCAAGGCCTTTCCTCTTTATGCAGTGCAGAAATGAACATCTGGAAAAATACACCGGTGCTGTGACTGGCAACCCAGTGTCATAAGGTCCAGCTTGTCCACTCCATTCCGAACTCAGTTGGCTCTTAAATTCTCTTCCCTTGACTTTCCTTCCCACCCCTGAGATGCCCAATTGTACCTACTCCTTGGCAAGCCTCTCCTTCCCTTCCGGTGGTATATGGACTCCTCGTTTCTTTGAGGACAAACCTGGCCTTCCGTTACCAGGTCTCTCTGAACAGCAAGCTCCTGTGACTCTTCCTTCTGCACAAAATAAGAGAGGGGGGGGAGGGAGGGAGGGAGGGAGGAAGGAAGGAAGGAAGGAAGGAAGAAAGAAAGAAAGAAAGAAAGAAAGAAAGAAAGAAAGAAAGAAAGAGCCAATGGTGAAAAACATGAGGGCATAAATGTATGTATATGTAAGCATATGTAGATACCCAGTGTGGTGTTGTGGATAGAGTGATGGACTAGAACTCAGGAGGTCTGGGTTCAAATCCCTGGTCAGCCATGGAAACTCACTGGGGGAGTGGAACTGGTAAAACCACTCCTTAAATATCACTTGCTTTAAAAGCCCAATTAGGGTCGCTAATGAATCAGTTCCAACTTAGCAGCCCAGAACAACAATGAGCATATTATCTTTACATTTCTATACCTCCCTCTAATATAAATGCTTAGGGTAGCCAACAAATACAGTTAAGTTTAATAGTAAATAAAAAATAGATAAAAAAATAAATCAAACAATACAGCATTTAAATCACAGCGATCAGTTAAAATCATCATAATTATTGCGAACACCGGTTGAAACACCACTTTGAAGAGCAGTTTCTTCTTCTCTTACTTTGTACAGCCAGGGAGTGTCTGGGAAGTAACCCTTAACTCAGTCTAAGGGGATTGCATCCCACAATCTGGGAGAAGCAACACAAGGGAAAGCCATGCCCAGCAATGCCTATCAAGTACAGGTCTCCGTAGGCCACGGGACTCTCAAGAGGTCCTCTCCTGCAGAACCTAACATCCAGACAGTCCATAACATCGTTGGGAGCTTCTTCAATTTATTCGTCCTGAAATGAGCACGAGGATGTGTGTGTGGGGGGGAAGAGTGAAATGACAACGTTGGCAGGTGTTCCTGATGTAAACCCAAAGAAAACTGTCAAAACAGAGCTGCACAGAAATCGCTCCAAACTGGGTCAACGAAAGGAAAGCATACCAGATGAGATTCACTGTGGATAAACAGATGCTGTTACATGTCAGTCCTGTTCCAAATACCCAGAGAAAGCCCTACATTTTGTAATTGCCGAAGAAAGATTTTGGGGTCAAAATAGTAAGAGGAATCTTACTGGAAACGGCTAAAGCTATTGTGCTGTGGCATGCAGAATCCCGTCCGTCTCTAGGCCCTCTAGCCATACTGATATTTGCCCTTTCAGAACTCTAGTGCAAGTGGAACCCCATCCCCCATGTTGGCCAACAGAACAGGCAGCTTGAATACGTTGTCTCTGTGTCGCCAGAGCTGCCCCTTCCCTTAAGTGTGGAGAATTCTTGGGGAGCTCCAGCTTTCGCACTGGAAGCTCCATAACCACAGGGGATGGCAAGCCTGCTTAAGTCTCAGTCAGCAAACGGGTGAAAAACAAAACTGAAGAGAATCTGGACAAAGAACCGGTGGCTTTCCAGATGACGTTGGACATCCGTTCCCATCAACCCTCACCGAAATGGCCAATGTTCAGCCATGATGGACACTGAAGGCGCTCCCTTACCCTGGTCTCCGGTACATATGTTGCTTGTTTAAAGGACTTCTGTTATTTGGCATGCTTCAGGACAAAGTCTTCCCAGTGTGGCTTATCAAGAGATAATTAGCTTCACATACATAGCAGGGTAATTTAGTTTCATACACACAGCAGGGAAATTTTGCCTCCAAATGATTCTACTTCTATGTTTCTTCAGAAGAATAGTTTAAATGGCTTGGAAAATTTTTAGCTCAGGCGCACGAGAGTAGTTTATTAAATGATACCAGGCAAAATGAAAATGAGAAAATAAAAAAAACCTCAAGAAGACAGAACTGTTGGGCTACTGCTATATTTTAATATGAACTTTTGTGGATGGAGATGAGGATGAGCACCGCCCCCTAGAGTCGGACATGACTGGACTAAATGTCAAGGGGAACCTTTACCTTCCTGGATCAAGCCCACTTCTTCAGCCAAAAGAGTGGGACTATGTGGCAAATATTGAAACATTTTTACATGGAAGCATTGTTGGTAACGTTGTTCCTGCTTGTTATCTATAGCCTGGGATTAATTTAGCTACCATCCTTGTCCTTGTTTACAGAGCAATGCATCTTGGGAGGAACACTATCAACAAGGGTCTTAAAAGTTTATTGCCAGTCATGAAAGGCTGCACTGTCAACAACTTGTGCCCCCCAAAAAAGTCTCTTTGTTAAAAAAAAGCAATCTCTTCCAGCAATGGTCCCATGCAGTTTGTCTTTAAGGTGCCACTAGTTTTTGTCTTTATTTATTTATATTTCTTTTCGCTTTGCCCGATATAATAGCACAGACTAACATGGGTAACTCTTCTAAAACTACAGTTACTAAATGATGTGTGTGGTAGCAATGGATAAAAGGGTCGGGGTTTCTGGGAGTTGCTGACCAAGATCACCTGGGTAACCCAAGGTTGGGAACCACTATCCTAAGAGATTCAGGGCCCCACGGGAGGTACTAAGGGCACAAGGTTGATGTATGTGATGTTTCTGGGAATTGTAAAAGGCAGAAGACAATGCACCAAGAAGTCAAGGAGAATGAAGTGTGTGTTAGGGAGAGGAAAGTATGTGTGTACTGTATGTGGAATCTTAATGCATCCATGCCTGTAATACCCGTTACACCTCTATCCTGCACCCCTTGCTTGCCTTAATCTATATGCAATGCAAGGAAAAGGAAATTCTGGGTGGCCTTTTAAAAATGAACAATAACAGTCCACCCAACTCTGACACTCTTTTGAACTGCATTGGTTCTTTTAAAAACATCAAAGGGAAAAAAGATTTGCAGCCTTTGAAACTGAAATTCAGGTCAAAACGAAAAGGAAGATGTAAAGGAGAAGTTGGTTTATTGCAAAGGGAATGAATTGACTTCAAAATATGGAAATACTGTTCTTTTGTGTATTGTTTTGCTGCGCTTCTACATTAGTATGTAGGGTGTATTATGAATAACCAGCCCCTCCTCTTTTTTTTCCTGCTGACCTAGACAAATTAAAATTTTGCACTCCCTGCCTCTGTCTTATCGTAAGCTGAGCAGCATAACAATGCCACATTAAATGATCAAAAGCATTACTAGTTTCTCATTTTCATGTTTAATCTCGGTAAATTAACTCACACGCCATTGTGCCGCACACTACTTAGGCTAGAAATCCTACTCTCATATTCCTGGGCACCCTAATTATTAGAGTAATCATTTTGCCTATAAGCATGCATGGAAACGAGGGCAGCTCCGCTTCTTGTGTCATGTCTTAACCATCCTAATTGTGAGCACAGCGCATTCAGCCAAGCTCAGTGGAGTTCATAAAATTCAACTGGGCAACCTGGACCTTGATGATATTGCTGAGGAGGCACAGAAACAGGGTACATGTATTAAAAAAAACCCACAACCCACAAGTGCATCTCCTTCTGTTTCTCCCTCCCTTCTCACACATACACACCTCTTTCTCCCCACAAAGTGTCATTTCCCTATGGCTTGCTCTCAGAAACGGGGAGACCTATAAGGTGAGTTAACAGGGAACTCTTCCTGTTGGGGTGGACGTCTCGCTCTTTTGCTATCTTTCTCCTTTTCATGTCCCCTCACTCATATCCCTCCCTCCCTAGATTCACCCACATGCCCCTCACTCACACATACCCACACTCTCCCCAGCCACATACCCACATTCATTGACAGATATAATGCATAGCCAGAAAACTGGAGGTTTAAAAAAAAAAAACACACACACAGGTACTCAAATGCCTGTTACATCTATCCTTCCCGCTGACAGTGAAGTTGATGCCCTTGAGTGGCCTCACTGGCAGAGGTAAGGTAGCTCTTGGTTGTATCTCTTGGTGTGGCACAGAGGTGATATCAAAACAGCCAGTGAGCTGTTAAGCCTCCTCTGAGGGCACAACTCCCCCCTCTGAAAGATAAAGTCTCTACCATGAATCTCCCAGGTATCCTCAGGGATTTTTAAGGGAGGTAGCCATTTTGAGTTGAATTGCTCACCAGAGTTAGCACATCATTAGGAGTGGAAACATGGTAGTGTTTCAGCCACTCAAACTTAAACTTCACACATGCAAACACACACCAAAAACCATATCAACAAAAACAAGCAAATATGCAAGCTAAAGGAGATGGGGGGGGATCATAGGATTATGCTCAATTTTATTTGTTTGTTAGTGTTATTTGTAAGCTAATATGTAAGCTAAAGGAGATGGGGGGATCATGGGATTATGCTCAATTTTATTTATTTGTTTGTTTATTTGTTTGTTAGTGTTATTTGTAAGCCACTTTTCTCTTAAAGAGGGATATAAGGAATCTCTCTCTAGTGTCCATTTCAGCCTTTAGTCTGTAGCCTGTTGCAGCGAAATCCTCAGAGTCTTGAGGCAACCAAAAGACTAACAAGTTTTAATTGGCATAAAATATCTATATCTATATCTACAGTATATCTATCTCTATCTCTATCTCTATCTCTATCTCTATCTGCAATCAAAAGACTAACAAGTTTTACTTGGCATAAAAATTATCTCTCTCTCTCTCTCTCTTACGCACACACACAGTCTTCATATATATTTGTTTACAGCTGTAGAAGAGACAGCCATATCAGTCTGTGCAAGCCTTACAGATGAAAACAAAATAAAATTAAAAGAACAAAAAAAAAGAGAGAAACATGGTGGCACCTTCAAGACTATTAGCACACACACAGCCTTCATATATATCTGTTTACAGTTGTAGAAGAGACAGTCATATCAGTCTGTGCATGCCTTACAGATGAAAACAAAATAAAATGAAAAGAACAAAAAAAAAAAGAAACATGGTGGCACCTTCAAGACTATTATAATGTTATAATGTAATGTGAGCTTTCGTGGATAAAATCTACTTCCTCACACATAAGAGAAAGCTATAACACGGCAGATATTTATACACATCAAACTACAGAGATTATATCTGGCTGGTTGGTAAGAAAGTCAATGTGGCATGTGTTTCCATTGTGCAATATGATATTGACATAGTGACATTAGGTACCTATAGAGTGTTAATGTCCCAGGAAGTCACATAATGAATTTCTATGGTTGGACCAATCCTCGTTTAATTGGTTTCATTACTATGCCTTCTACTTGGATTGCAACTTGATATGCATTTTGAAGCAAGACAAAACTGCACAAATCAGTCAAGAGCAATAAAAAATGGGAAACATATATTGCTGGAATTCTGTTCTACAGTGCATGCTTCAGTGGGACCCAGTGTTATGAAATGCCAGGGAAACGGCTTGTTCTTTGGGTCTCTTCATAACCAGAGGACGAAACCCTTATTCTCTCCATAATGTGAAACAATATATTTCCGTGAAATATCCAAGGGGATGTGGCAGTTGCTCGAGGCCCATCATCCTGTCACGCCACTTTACAGGACACGCTTGCACTATGAATATTTGACAAGGAGGCCTGGACTGAGCTTGTTAAAAAATTACATCCCTGATGAATTATTTATCCAGAGAGGAAGGGATTAAAAAAAATGGTTCCCTCTGGGAAGAAAAACACACACACACACACACAGAGAGAGAGAGAGAGAGAGAGAGAGGCAATTGCAAAGGCATGAATAACCACTTTCAAATCCCACACAGGGTAGCCAGACGGGCCTTCTGTATTTGTACCAGTTATGTCAAAGAGGTCATTTCAGGAGGTGTAGCTTGTCACGCAAGCTACTCTTGCTGAAACATTTTCTCCCATGCAAATGTCAAAAGGAGCAAAATTCCTAACACACACACACACACACACACACAAACAATCCTGTCCGTGTCAGAACAGCCACGTGAGAAGGAGGAGATGACTCCCTAATGTTTTAGCAGTTGCTTTGAAGAGAACATTTCTTCAGTTGTGCATCACAAGCTACATTGGCCAAAGCTTTCTCTTCAGCACAACTACTAAAGCTACAGGAGCCCTTGCCTCCATTTCGTGTGGTTGCTCAAACAAACCCGAAAGCTTTGTGTTATAGGAACTTTGCCTGTCATGCTCACTTATGGCCACTAGAGGTCACTGAATCATCTCCCGATTAACCAGAAGGTGTTGTATAAAAGACACAACTTTTACTGTCACAGCTGCTGCAGTGGAGAATGTGTGTACCGCCCACTGGAAAGGGCTATCAAATTAATGTGCAGAAGGTATCATGTTAATACAGATAGGCTAGTTACACAGTTTGGCTGCGCATGGCCTTTGCTAGTGTGTTGCAATCTAAATCTGTTATCTTTACCATTGTTATATCTGAACTGAATTCTTCAAAAAAAAATAAATCTCTGATTTGTGCTTCTGTATCCACAATCTGAAACGCCAGAAAATGGCCCCGTATTGCTGCACAATATTGTACTCATGTTACTAGCAGGGAAAAGGATGCCAAGCTTTGCTTATCAAGGCAGCCTGAATGTTGACAACACCAACGACAGCAGTCAAGATGGTCTACAGCAGGGGTCCCCAACCTGTTCTGAGTCACAGAGCAGTTTTTGGGGGGTGGGGCACCGCCCCTTCACTCACAGGTGGGCAGGGCATGCATGCGTGGAGGGGTGGTCTGCACTCATGGAGGGGCGGGGCACCTGTTCGTGTGGGTGGCAGGCCATACTGCGGGGTGTGTGTGTGTGAGTGCATGCAGGGGGCGGGAGATTTGTCTCCACGGCCTGGTCCTGCCACAGCCACGGACCAGCAACGGGCTGCAGACCAGGGGTTGGGGACCCCTCTTGTGCCCACTATCATTTACAAAATGACAGCAAGAAAGGGAAAAATCTCAGAAGCTGACTCCTTTTTCCATCAGTTAGCCCCTTCTCCCCTAAACACAAAGCAATTGTCATGGCTAGAGATGGGCACAAATTGCACTTTGGCAGTTCAGCCCAGTTTGGTTCGGCACCCAAAGAAGTGTTTCCGCCAGCACAGCGCGCTTCCTTCCCCTGACTCCCCTGTGTGCTTGCCCACTCACTGGCAGGAGCCCACTTGCCTCCTCCGCCTCCTGGGGCAACCACCCAGTCCCCAGCTGGGGGCTGCAGAGATAAGAAAAGACCAAAGTCTCAATAGCCCCATCATCTCCACCACCTTTAGTTGCTTGGGCTAAGGCAAGCCCACCAATGAAAGACATCACCATGAAGGGGAGTAATCTCTCACCCAGAACACTGTTGCCACCAAGGTCAAACTTGAGCATCCAGGGCACATCAGTTTTACAGGCATCATATTCATCATTCTCTTCTACTACCTACAACGATCTGGTTCAACAGTTTCACTTTGTTTTGCCTTTGAAGGTGGTAGAAGGGAAAGGAATGCTCTAAGCTGCATCTTACGTCTCCTTGGAAGAGTAACAGTGGCCCCAGCAGAGAGAGAGAGGCTCATACTCACGTTCCTCCGGGCCAGACGGCTCTTCTTGCTCGGGTGGCAGCTGGGCATGGGCCTGAGCCAAAGGGCAACTCCCGGGACTGTGGCCAGGTTCTGAGTTGGCATGGGGGCAGCAGCTTGGACTGTGCGGTTCTTGGCTCCCAGCGCTGGCATCCTCTTCATCTGCCTGCTGTTTGCAAAGATGGTGTTCAACCATCATCTGGAGCTCTGAAAGGATGAGGGCAGGCGGATACGTGAAAATTATGGACTTTGAAGGAGGGCTACCGTGTGCGCGCGTTTCATGTCTCGTTAAAAAAAAGACTTTGCTGTCCTTCACTGAGGAACAGAGTCTAGAGTTGGTGTAGATGGGATCAGGGTTATCATATCCTACATTATTACTTGGTCTGTTGTGCATTCCTTACTAATGGGCTCAACGCCTTTATCACCCTTCTGACCTTTTCTCCAACCTGATGTGGAATTACTGACCTTGAATTTCTGTCGTCCGTGGTACCACTCAAGCCTATTGCTTGGCGTGTGAAATTTCTCCCTCTCTTCAAGTTTATGGGCTCCAAGTTTTGGGGAGCTGGTCTTCTGTCTGCTTGCTTGCTTGCCTGCTTGGATCCAAAACTGTATTGTCCTCTGAAATAATCCCGGTCTGACACAGTTCTCTTTTTTTAGAGAACTTGATGATGTACCTATAGATATACACTAATATATCTATAGATATACACTAATATATCTATAGTTATGGGTATCACTATACATACATCCACACATATACTGGAAAATTGGAGAGTATTTACAAAAAGTATGGCCTTTTAAGGCTGTTTTTATGGGTCCTAATACTTCTTTACTGATTTTTTTTTAAAAACACACCCTAAAATCATTTTCATTTCCTGAAAGCTTTCAGGAGTGGTGGCTTCACGAAACATGTTACATCCCTCTCCAGAACCCACCCCACCCTGTAACCCACAAAAAGGATATCAGAAATGTGAAAAAGCAAAAAGTTGATATGTATTAGTAATATGAATTGATTGAAACACACCCTAAAATCATTTTCATTTCCTGAAAGCTTTCAGGAGTGGTGGCTTCACGAAACATGTTACATCCCTCTCCAGAACCCACCCCACCCCGTAACCCATGAAAAGGATATCAGAAATGGACTTTAGGCTACCCTTGGTCTCCCTCTCTCTCTCCCCCCCCTTTCTGGACTGGGTCCAGCCGTCATGGGGTGCCAAGTCACACAAAGTGTGCCCTGAGGCAGAAGTTGCCCATTCCTTGTGCGGAATAATTTAAAAGAATGGATCAGTGCAAAATTGATGAAGAAAGATTGTGGAAGGGGAAGACTAGAAACACATGAAGAGAGAAGCTGGAGAGAGCAAAAGAGAGATGAGAGCAAGAGTGTATAGAGGTGGAGAAGGATAGGGAAAGAAAATAGCAGACATCGTGAAAAAGAGAGATAACAAAGGAATTTTGCTGCTGATTCACATTGTCCAGTACAGTATAATCATGTCATAGATATTTGTGAGGAACACATCAGATCCAACTACAGATGGTGGAGTCACAGGTCTGAATACTTCCCTGCATCAAAAAAATCCCTCAAGTGCATACCAGAAAGATTTGGCAAGCACCTCTCTTCCCTCAAAATACTAGTTTTCTACATGCAGGGATTCTTTTCATTCAGGTGTATCATCCATCCCCAGTAACAGCCTAAATGGGGACTGTCCTAACAGAGACCAATCACTCCATGGCCCAGATCAGTTTGAGGAGTTGGCCATCTTGGAACTCTGCCAGGATTGAGCATTCCTAAAGACAGGGTGGAAGTAACATCTGCCGGGGCTGTTTGTGCGCACCTGCTTAAGTCCAGCTGGGAGGTATGGACTGGACCGGATTAGATGACTTTTGAAAGTACCTTTCAGCACGATAATTCTACGACACTCATTTGGAAATAAATCCTAATCTCTTTTAATGACCATGTCATTAATCACAAGATGGCATTACTGGTATACTGCCAAGTAAGGCGCATGGCTGTCGGTGTGTGTGTGTGTGTGTGTGTGCGCGCGCGCACACGCGCCTCTCTACAAACAGACTGTCTGTTGATCTCTCAGTGCTACGAACTGGAAAATGTACAAAGTTCTCTGATCTAGAGATAGCGACCTCAGACTTGTGCATATAATTGACTTTGTCACCAATTTATGGAGAGAGGACTTTGTAGTGAACTCCTGCTATCATCTGGAGGGGCTCTGAAGCATTGCTACAACCCATTACGGTTCAGTGGGGTGATGGTGGGGAAGCAAAGACAGTACTCATCCTCTACTGTCCCTCAGCAAGGCCTTGTTTCTCAGAACATCATGGACGAGCTTTTCTGAGACTCAGAAAGCAGCAAGTTTCTGCTTTCTGAGCATCTCCAAAGTCAATGCAAGGTCACGGAGAATCTTCGCTGTTTCCTAGGCTTCAGGGAAGAATGGGGGCTCCCAATGGAATAAATTGGGGTGTACAACATGGCATGCAACCCCACCACTTTTATTTCTACCCATCCCTGCAAATGTTTGCTGCTGTGCTGAGGTAAAAGACCACGTCACCTTTAAACAAAGCATACAATCAGTGTGCACCTTGTTTTAAAACCGAGCATTCCTTGAAGCCTCCAGAAATGCTCTTCAGAATGGAAACACAGTACTCACTACTGTGCACCTTGTTCTGTAAAATTCAGCAGTTTAAGTCAATGCTGAATTCCTGAATTTCAGCAGAATGGGGGCAGATTTAGTATCAGCAGCAGGAGGAAGGACAATGTGTGGTCCTCTCAATGGATTCAGGAAACAATGTGGCCTCCAGACTTAAAGGTTATCCATCCCCAGACTAAAAGTATGGTTTCCTAAAAACTGGCATGTACAAGTGCCCAACGTTTTGTAAGGAATGTGACACTTCTCACACTTGGTGATTTTCTGAGTTTCAACAGACTAGGACACCCTGCTAAGATGTCCCCTGCACCAATGAGTTCCCCAGCTTCCTGTGACAATAAGACCCCAGTCACAACCCCCTTCTCCCCACCCCCATTTTTTGCCCCTTCTCCTGCACAGGAAAACTGCTAAATTCTGCACAACTGAATGCCATTTTTAAAAATCCTGTGCAGGAAAGATGGCATTCTGCACAGGAATTATAATCCTGTGTAGCTTCTCATTCCAATCCCTGCCACCACCAAAACAGAATCACAAATCTTCCAAGTAATCCCATAACACTTCTTGGGCTGGGGCTGGGGAAGAATCTCCTGCAGAGAAATATCAATGGGGGGGGGAAGAGGTTTCCCCACCCCACCCTCTTGAGTTTCTCACAGGGACTGTTAAATTCACATGTCTGTCACAAGCAGTCCCTCATCCGGACACGCTGGGATTGTCTACAAATGCTCAATTAAAATGGGCTGGATTAAGCTAAGCAGGGTTGCTTAAAATCGGCTAGACATCCAGCAAGCCACTTGATCCTTGCATCCAAATAACATATGCAGCTCAAATGCCCCTATTTGGTCCAGCTCCTTTATGAAGGCAAAAGAAAGGAAAAAAATAGCCATCCTTGTTCCTCCCTGCTTCTGGGAGGAAGATTTTGATTTTTAAATAATTTTCTCTACACGATGTAGCACATAAGCACTGCCCTAATTGTTTTTTAAAAAGTTTTTAATTCCCTGTTTTATCTCCCCACATCATTAAGTGGTTAAGATGTCTGTTTAATCTTTTAGTGATATGGGGATATTGAAATCATGTGGGAAATTAGAGCAGGAAGCTCCCTTTGATTTGAAACCAGAGACCGCATGCACTGGGAAAGAACCAAAATGGAGCGATCGTACCCACACCAAAAATGCAGAAGCCTCCACCAGGAACATAGAAAGGTACATTTAGGAATACTCTGGGGATGGGCTTGGTTCATGCCAGCAATTATGCCATCTGATCACCAGAAAAGGAGTTAACCAGCCCATCCCAGCAGTGGGACAAGTGCCTGTATGGATGGCACCCACCCTTACCTTTCATGGTGGGAGTCGTACGGGAGACTTTCTTTCTCTGCCTTGGTGACATTGACAGTCCTGGCTGCAAAGAGGCGAAATGTGAAATTCTTCAAGGTGACAGCTTATAGAAACAATGGAACAAATTACCAACTGATTTCTGTGCTTTGCCCATTGAAAAATGATACATAATTCCCATTTAAAAATTAGGGCTTCGGCAAGGCTGCTAAAAATGTAACCCCTCCCCTCCAAAGGGCCTACGAATATCATCACGCAACAGGTAAATTCCTTCAGTAAACATGACAAACACCGAGCCAACCCCAAGCCCTTCCCAGGCTTACAGTTTTTTCTTCCAAGACTCCAACCGGTAGGTTTATAGAATTCGTTCAGTCCCACAGAGCCATAGCAGCCGGCTCTTTTATTTTTCCTGGAATGCCTACGGTGCCTTCAAGTATTATGTGGGAAGCAGAAAATTGGTAGCTGAAGGGCTCCTCCCCCCCCCCCGAAAAAACATGATATTACTCTCTAGCCTGGGTTAAAATCACCAGCTCCACTTCACCCATCCCTACCAAGAGGGAAGGTGAAAATGTGAACACTCTGCACAAACTATCTTATTCCATCCACACACAAAAACAGCACATCAGTGAGGCTATGCCAAAACCTTCTCTGATAAAGTAGTTCTCAGTGGGAGCAGATTCGAACATTTTCAATTTGCTGCAGCATAAATTAGCTCCATCATGGAAAAAGTTTTACCACTTGATTGATGCTAGCCCTCAGTTGTTGGGAATGAAACAAGGACACATACCTTCAGAAGAGGGTTGGGCAGCCGGTCTTCATCAATTTCTGGATGAGGAGTTGTATGGGAAGACACAAGAGAGCGAGAGGGAGAGAGTAAGACATTTATAAAGAAACAAGAACAGAAACATGCCATATTGAAGGAGAAATCATTTTGACACTCCAGGGAGAAGCAACTGAGAGTCAAAATAGACAATACAATTAGCACATCCTTGGAAACAGAGCTCCCTTAAAAGGTTAAAGCTGTCTGCTTATCATAGCAAAAAGCTTGTGTCAGACTGTAAATTGCAGATGGGCTGGCTTTTGTTTTTGTCACTAGAAAAGAGGTACAAGTTCTATTTAAAGTCCCATTGCTCAAGCACAGAGCTTTGAAGGAATTATATTCTTGGGGAAAAGCATAACAGAAGGAAAGTATGTTTCTTTTGATATGTAATTTGAGTGGACCATCAGATGATTTGGATCTACTGAGAAGGCTTCCCTTCACCTAAAAACATAAAAAAGGACACACACACCCTCCTGATTACTGTGAACATCTGTGGTCTGCAGCAACTTGAGTCTGTGACTACACTGCAATTTACTCTAAGAATTGCATCAGAATGACATGGTTAAAATCAAGTATTTGCCATGATGTAAAGCAAAGCACAGGAGTAATATTTCCTCTGAGCTGCCCATGTGCATGCTCCCCCAGAGCCCCATTGGGGCTGTCCATGGGCAGCCAGCAGCAGGTTTGGTTACTTCCTGTTTTGAATGAAGCTTTGCCCACCCCCCACATGCACAGAGTGAGGTTCACATGCAGTGGGACAGAAAATTAGAGGGAATGCTGCACAGGAAAGCTCTGTCTTTTTCCAGGGGGAATCATTTCTTTTTATTCAGCCAGTGGGGTGCGTGCTGTTGTTGTTGGCTTTTTGCACCAATTCAGCTGGCATCATTTTTCTCCATTTTATGGTTATGCGACTGTCTTTCCCAATGAAAAGGAGCAATTGCAGAGATGTCTATGGAGACAATCACAGTGGGGCACAGTACTCAGGACAACTCCCCTCGATTCCTCCGAACACAATTTCATTCCTCTGAACAAAATTTCTATTTATTTTATTCTATAAATTTGTATACGATATCAGATAAGGACTAGGTCACTTCTGAAAAATAAATGCAAAAATTTAAAAAGGGGGACAATGGGGAGGGGTGGGGAAGAGGATAGTACTAAGAGCGTGGGGCTGTGTCGCCAGTGAAAAGGGAACTGACTGGGAAGGATGGCATGGATTCTTGCAACATGGTTACTCAATTACACTGGTGTAAATGACTGCAGTGATCTCACCAGCAGAAACCAGTTTAAAAATCTTCAAAATGAACTTGTTTTTCCTCCACCGTGTAATCGCACCCTTGGAAAGTACATCTCCACTTGCAAGTATAAGCCATCCCAGTGTTTGGGTCATGCAGTGCATGGAGTGGCAGATTTTGCCTCTGCACCACCACCAAGTTGCTCCTTGCTCTGTATGGTGCGCCTTAAAAGATCTAATGGGACCCTAACAACAGAAACTTGATGTCTACCCATGGCTGAGCTGGATGACTATAAGCTGCTCACCCCAGAGCTAGAGGGAGGGGCAGTTTCTCCATCCGAAGATGTGTTGGATATTAAATGGGATACAAGGCGAAAATATTGGCAAAGCCACACCCACAGGAACACAACAGCAAATTCCTCCCAAGGTATATAAAAAGCTTTCAGAACAGCTCCAAGACAGGCACCCAACAGTCCCAGAGGACGACACGTGTGCCAAAAGCTGTAGCATGCAAATCAAATCCTCTATAGATGCCACTCTGGAGATTGCCTGCAGCGATTTCCATGGACTTCAAGGGAAACAATGTACCACTGCAAATACAAGGAGCCTGGCCGGGGAAGCGGGGACTGCATTGGAAAGAGCACAGACTATATTCCTGACACTTGAATTGCTTCCTTCTATGGGCTTGATAGTTGCCTATCAAACAGGTTTAAAGGGTTTCCTTACAATACCGTGTATTTTGTTGTGTTTTCATTGTTTTGTTTTGTTGCTTATGAATTTAGAGAGAGAGTTGTGGTTTTTTTTGAGATGAAAGAAAGGAGAGAAGAAAGGGAATGAAGGTGTCTGTCTTGCCCTTTGAGTTAAAGAACATTTCAGCAGGTGACCATTTCCAGGGATAAATGCATTTTCCCCAGCACCTCCTCTTTCTACAACAGGGTGCTGTTTGAGGTACAGGGGCCTTCAAAGAACATGGCAAACCTATTTGGGTCACAAGTAAAAAAAAGCTTTCTGGGCCTATTGTACTACGACCCCCAACATTCATGAGCAATGGGCATGCTGGAGAGCGAACAATGGTGTCTGTGTCTTTGAATGTTTTTTGAATCCAGTGTTTAAATCCAATTTTAAAAATCCAATTTGTTTGCATTTTTCATCCCCTTTTGAGTTGCATTGGGCCCCTAAGGCAGCACAGCCATAAAGCAAATGAAAACAACATAATCAGTTGTTGTCCGACACATGTGAAGGACACTGAGCTGAGGAAGGGCGTGCAAACCATCCCACAGAGCTAGCGGAGCACTGCCTTTGCGCTTAATGAATGCAGACTATAAATAACTACCATCAACAGAAAATATTTACCCTCTTTGCAAATGAACAAGCATTGGCTGCTACGACCCAAGGATGAGAAGTGGCAGTGGCAGGGAATCTGAATTTTCACACTGATCTTTGGAGGCAAAATGGATTGTATGCAGGTGTGGGGGTGGCACATTTGAAGGATAATCTTAGAACCGCAGAGCTGGAAAGGGACTCAATGAATCACTGAATCCAGCCCCTGCCAACGAGGCAGCACAGTGGGGGAATCGAACCCCCAACCCCTGGCTCCAGAGCCAGGTGCCTAAACCACTGAGCTATCCAGCAGTCTGGGTAGATAATAATCAAAGAGCGTGTGGTGGTGGGATGGGGGTACAGTATACATCAAATTGCTAATACCCATCACGGGTGTGCAATTTACTGTCTTTTGATCTTGGCATTATGCCTGCTTCTGTAAGAGATTAAGGGCAGAGAGATATTCAAGAGCTGAAAAGTATATCCTAGTGCCAAATATGCAGGAGACATTTTCAAAGTTAGGCATACAAAAAGAATAAAGACTAGTTTCAGGCAGGGATTACTGCAGTTTGAACCCAGGGCTTGATTTTGATGCCATGTTCCCAAACCTAAAATTAGGTCTTGAGTATCTCTGTTGACTTGTTAAAGATGCCAATAATACGTACATAGAAACTCTAGCACCTCTCTGAAAAAAAAATAGTTATTCGAACACATTAAGCAGTGAGCCTGAAAGAAGTAGAGATGTGTGAGTTCTACTCCTACTTCCGTTTTTGTACTTGTTTTGTAATGTTATTTGGTTTATTGGCTTACTGTTGATGCCTAGGAATGACACTTGTAGCTGTTCATTTCCTGACACCATCTGCAGAGGCAGCAGTAGAAATTCTTGGCACTCATTCTCAGGTATTAAAGAGGAAGAGGCAGCTGCCATTAAAAAAAATGGTACCTCCACTGGGGGGGGGGGCTACCATTTTTTTGCTGGTACTTATTAACTCACAATACTCTAGAAAAATATGTCATCCAAGAGCACAGTGGATAAATAAAAAGGGCAGTGCAAGAAGGTAATGGCAGAGGATATTTCCAGTATTTAGCACAGGTGTTTTGTCCAACTCTCATCAACTCTACCACAACCGTCACCAGGGAGAAAAAAATGTTATGGCAACATTTCATAGGACGTAAGTCAATTAAAGCCCAGGTCTCGATACTTAACACTGGGCCGAGTCAAAAGAGAGGATTTCTCAAACAAGGAAAATAAAGACAGTGCTTCCTAGTTTCTGCCACGTTGACTATCAGAGGGTGGTTCGCTGTGATGTCATCCCATTCATAACATGATCCACCACTGGTTGGAACCACTTATGTGACTTTTGCTAGGGAGATGATGAACAGAATGGAACAGAAGCCGTAGCAGGCCATTGAAACTGTGGCAATCAACATGCTAAAACACTGATGGAACCATCTGATTATTCAACAGGGAAGGCGGTTTTCAGAAGCTCCCCCCCCTTTTTTTTTTACTCTAAAAAGCTAAACGGGCAATATGGTTATGTCAAACATTTCCCTGTATTACACACCCTGCAAGGGTTCCTAATTTGGAACCTCTCTGTCACACAGGAAACCTAACAGGGTGTTGCCATGGCAACTAGAGTTTAGCTGGACGGCCAGGCTCCTGTTCCATGATTCCAGAAACCAAACTGAAAGGATCCTAGAGGTTACCACCTCCAAAATGCTGCTGTAACCTAGAAGACCTGAGATCCCATATAAGACGAAGCAAATAAGACATCATCCATTGGAATCTGAGAAGAGATGAAAAAGGGGGGGGTTAATGCACATTGGAGGCTCTGGACATTGACGTGACCCATTTAATAATCATCTGTAGTGTGTATCTTTGGTAGACTGAGATTTCAGTGTGAAGTCAAGAGATGGTTGGAATGATACTCTGAAGAGATACAGAGAGTTTGGTAGTTCAAAAGGTTGTCAAGAGCTTGCTACGGTTGTCGAGAGCTTGCTTCAAACTTGCTTTTAATAAGAAACAACTTGCAGTTATTCTCAAAACGGTTGTCGAGAGCTTGCTTCAAACTGGCTTTTAATAAGAAACAACTTGCAGTTATTGTTCCATGGTCTACCTAAGTCCACATCAGTATCATTGTTGTTACAGGGTTTGTTTTTATTTTTTTGCTTTGCCAAAAACAGCTATTTATCTTGCTCTTTCTCAAATATAAGGAGAACAGTCTGAGTATTGTTACGTGCTTTTAAAAACAAAGGGGTCAAAAACCTACTGCAAAAGATGAAGGCATGACGACAATCGTGCTAGTGGGTTGTTGTTGTTGTTTGCATTTTTCTTTCTGTCTGCTACAAAACAAAGCAAAGCAAAAAGGACTCAGGCATGTCTGCGTATGCTATGGATAGCCTGAAATATTGTGCATATCATGGTTGTCCTTGCCAGTTAACATTGCACAG